TTTTGGACTCAAAAATGCCATTTTTCAACATTAATTCTTATAAATAATATTTTTTGTAAGTTCCTTGATAATTTTGTTTTTTATTATTTAGATGATATTCTAATGTATTCTAAGAATACACAAAAATATGAACTTTATATTTGTCATGTATTACAAAAACTTAGAGATACAAAATTATATGCCAAGTTGGAAAAGTGTGTATTCTACACTATTCAATTTGAGTTCTTAGGCTACATCATTTATAAAAAAAGGCTTAATGATGGTTTCCAAGAAAGTCCAAATAATTGTAAATTAGAAGATTTGAAAAATAGTAAGTGATGTATAATATTGGGCTTTGTCAATTACTACCAGATCTTCATGAAGAAATTTTTTTAAGTTGTACCTCTACTTGCATATTTAACTGGTAAAGACAAATTTGAATGGAGTAAAGAAGAAAAAATATTATTTGATGTTTTAAAGATGGAATTTATTTTTTTACTAATTTTATATTGTATTAATTTCTTTAAGTCTTTTTTAATGGAAACAAATGCATTAGACTTTACAATGAATGTAGAGTTGTCACAAATAGAAGAAGATGACAAAAATCTTTTTTTATCAATTATGGTTATCATGTATAACTTTATACTTTTATCTTTTCAAAATTTGATAATTCTATGGTATAAGATTTGGCAAAATTACATGCAATAATAAAAGTGCACTTAAAAGGAGTTCAAAATTAACAAAAGACCAATATGGATACTTATTGCAATGAACAAAGATAATTCAATGTAAGTGACAAGATATAATTACTTCATCACAATATGAAGATTATTTGTCTTTATGACAAGTTTTATTATTGTAGGCTTTGACCTTTTTTTATTTGTAAATGAATCAATCTGATTGCTCATTAATTATACCTATTAAAATCAATTAATATTAATCCAATATTCTATATGTCTTTTTTTGAGCCATACAAGATAATTGATATACTAAAAAATCAACCAGTACCATCACTTCTTATAGAAGTGGATAATAATGAAGAATTTGAGATTGATGAAGTCTTTAATTGAAGGCGGCACTAAAATAGGTTAGAATATCTTATTTATTAGAGTGGATATGATATGAGTGAACATATATGAAAAGCAACTAAAAATCTTATAAATATAACAAATAAGATTGATATTTTTTATCAATATCATCAATCAAAACCAAAAAAGAGGATAATAAATCTTTATTATTAAAGAATTACAGTTTATGAAAGATTACATTCAACCTTCTATCATTCTTTGTAGTTTCTATGTATTTGTAGTATTAAGAAAATAGAGTATCAACTACTACTAGATTCAACTCAAGAACCATCATTTGCTAAAAAACTAAATAAAATATTACAATTATTATAGCCTTCAAGATGATATAATCAAAATGAAGACCTTCAAGGATGACATATTCTTCTTTAAATAGATGGTGAGATATAATGCATTTAGTATCACAACCTTGGAAGAGACTCTCAATATTTGGTGATTTTATTAGACGTAGAAATGAGTCTTGATAGTATTACACATGTTTTATTTGAGGAAAGTTATGAAGGCCTCAATAATGATCAAATAATAGGGTTGTCTTCTTACTTTGGAATGAGAGGACCTATCAACTATCTTCAATAGGAATAATAATCAGAGTATATAGCAAATATAATACACCACATCTTAAACTTCCTCAATATGTGATCACTGCCTCTTTTGGAATTCATTTCTTAAAGAGAGGGTAATATTACAAATATATCTATAATTATCTAGATAATATGAATTAATAGAAGTAAATGAAAGTAAATTAATTTGATAATATCTTATGAAACAGCTTCTTATAAGCTTTATAGAGAAGATTTTATTTCTATACATGTCTATAGGTGATTGATAGATTATAAATTTAGCCATGTATTTTACATATTGATAGCTTATAATACAAGCTAACAATGTAGAGTATATATAAGAAATTTGCCTTGTAATTAAGACATGTATCTCACAAATTGGACATATCTCGGAAGTCCTATAAAATATTGCCACATAGCTATTAGGTAGATAATATATATAGATACAAGAGTGAAGCCTTCTTTACTCTTGTTAATTTCTTTCTTACTTTTAGTCTAATTTTAAAAGTCTCTAATTTTCTAGCCTTTAGTAATAGCCATTTCAATTTCTTATAAAATATATTTATTTTCTTATTTTTAGTTTGTCATCTTTCTTTGATTCATTTTTCATTTGTTTATGTTTTTTCTTAGAATTATTGTCTATGATAGTTGATATCTATCATTGATTGTAAGGACTAATAAATCTTTTAAATTGCAAAAGAGAACTCAAGTATGTAGTAGATATCATGCAACAAATCTTTATTGTATAAAATAAAGATTTTTATACATAATAAATCAAGTGCTAGAAATCAATTTCAAGTATATAATCTAAACTAAAAAATAATGTACAAATAATACACTCTTAAAAAAAAGATAGAAAATCTAAATACAATTAAGTCAAGTTATTTTTCACACCACAAAGAAGAAATCCAAGAATGCAAGTATGTATAAAAACAAATCCTAAAACTTTATTAAATGGCTAAATCATCTTAGCAAAGAAAAATCTTACAACAAAGACTTCTTCTCTTTTAAAACCACTTATAAGATTTTTCTTGAAAAGAATATTAAGTCAACCAAGTTTTTTTAACATTAGTCTTTAAATCCTAATTGAAATTAATAAAGTCAATTAACAAAAAATACTACGTGAACCTTTACTAAATTAAAATAAATTTCATCCATTTGAAGGAATTTGGCACCAATTCCATATTACATGATATCTTTGACTTCTTTTATTTATTGTCAAATTTTATTCTATTTCTCTTTATGATATTTGGAGTTGAAAAGATAGATAATATACTTGAAAAAAGATTTGAAATGATTCTTAATCATTATAAAAAATCTTCAATAAGTTTTAGTAGATTCTAAAAACCTGTCAATAGATCCTAAAAGATTTTAAAAAAGCTTAGATGATTATAGAAGATTCATAGAAAAAAATTTTATCTCCAAATATAAAGAATTTTTTTCAAGAAGTTTCTTTGTACCTACTATATATAAGAATCAAGATTGAAGAGATCTTTAGTTTCAACAATGAAATTCTTATAGCTAAACTTAAGTCTTTTCATCTTATTTTTGTACTTTGTTAAAGCTCCTTGTTTATAATATAAACTAAATCTCATCTATTTTATTTCCTTAAACTCTTAGAATCTTAGCTTATTCAAGTGGTGTATCTATAACAAGCCTTATTTGAGTTTTTAATTATTTATTAGTATCTTAAAGATTATATAAGTATCAAGAAATTTTCTAAATTTTAAATTTTAAAATTTTAAATCTTAATAAGTATGATAATTAATTATTTTAGTAAATTTAGATTTTTAGATTTTTTTTCTTTTTTGTGATAATATATATATATATATATATATATATATATATATATATATATATATATATATATATATATATATAAATTAAGATTTTTTTAAATTATTTTAGAATATATTTTAAATATTTTTATAAAAATAATTTTATAATTTTTGAAAGTAATTTTGAAGAATTAGAATAATTCTTAAAGGCCTTATGACATTCCTAGGCTAATTGGGTGTTTTTAAGCATCAAAGTAAAGATAGAATTTGCAAAAAAATAAAATGTTGTTTTATTTGAAGAAACTAAATTGAGCGAAATCTAGTAGAAAATTAGGTATATATATTTCATATGAGATATAGCATCTTAGATGCACATAAGAAGATAAGACTTACACTTTATAGTTCATGTAAGACACCTATATACCACTTATAAACCTTAATGAGGCTCAAATCTTTATTACATAATTAAGTTATTATTGAATTAAACATCAATTGCTTGATTTTATTTTCATTTCTTATTTTTTAATTTATTTTAAATTTTAAATATCAACTTCAATTTACTTGAATTTGGTGTTATTTCAAAATTTAAATAATTATTTATAAAAATATCATTTTTAAAAAAAAATATCAAGTAAAAAATATATAAATAAATTATACCTAATTTTAAAGTGTGTATTTTTGAAATTATTCTTTTACTTATTTTTATTACTTCTTTTTTTCTTTCAACATTCTTTGTTTTTTTTTAATTGTATTTTTACATTAAATTACTAATTATAAGTAACTCTTTACTAAGCCTACCTTCTAATTTTAGTTAAGAGTTGAATTTTAATTTTATATATATATATATATAGGTTCTAATATTGTAGCCATACTAAGAAAATTTTGTATTGATTTACCTCTCTTTTAATAAGGTGATTACCAATATTAATTTCTAAAGACTATAAAAAATATTTATATATAAAAATAATAATTTAAATATATATATATATATATATATATATATATATATATATATATATATATATATATATAACTTGATTCAAGAATGCTTAAAATATTATGTTAAATATTATCTTATTATTTTAAGAATATTAACAAAACTTGATTCAAAAATGGATTTTTTTATAAAAATGAGATAAATTTTGAATGAAAATTAAGAGTTAAGACCATAGAAAAGAAATACCAATTAAATAAAATGCTAGAATTCTTTATAATAAGATGGTAACTTATAAACTACCCAAAGTGTAAAGATCATAAGTAGCAAGTATTTGCATGTTGGTTGTATATTCCTTGCTTTTTCCAAGTGAGGAGATCTCAAGTCTATGTTACATTGCTTAATTGTCTTTCATAATCTATGGAAGAGGATAAGAACTGATAAAAATAAAAAAATAAATACAAAAAATAAAAATTTGAGTCGCTACCGACAAATGATAAATATAACATAAGGAAGCTGAAGTGAAGGTCACGTCTCTAAACATAAAACGCCGCGTATCTGCACCAGGAATTTGGCGTGGTGGTTGGAGACGTCACGGACGAAGAGTTCTCTGACAGTGCACTGGAGCTGAGGAGGTGCAGCGACTCTTGGTCGTTATGGAATGCAAGCTTTGCCTGAGGATTGCCAGGTCCCCATTTCGAAGATGGCGACCAGGTTATGAACCTCTTGACTTTGCAGACATATCCTCTGAAGTGTTGATCGGCGGTTGCAAGGAATGCGAGAACGACCTCTTACCCATGTTAGGGTTCCGCGCTTCCTTTGAGCCCTTGCCTTAGTTGGTGACTAGAAACCGATGAGATCCCAGACTGATTTGGCACTTGTAATACGCCACGCATGTGTACTCATACTTCTTCTATCATGATATGCTTCGATGCACATGAAAGGAACTCACTTTTGAAGAGGACAGATTGATCGTAGTGATGTGCACAGAGGACTAGACAGCTCCTCCACAGTGACTCCGTAGCACGACCCTCACATACTCATCATCACGTCATATACAAGCTGGTGCATACGAGGTGTTACGGATCGAGACGAATGATTGAGGAAGGTCACCATCTGCGTGACGCCGAGCGAGAGGGTTTGGGGACGCGTCGGAGTTGACTAACGATACCGGGCGAATCAGTTACTGTGGGACGAAGTGCTGGTATCTACCACCATTTTATACCCGGCGCCAATGCTTATTGAAACCCCTTTTTGCATTGACCAACAGGCCCTATTTTACGTACACTTTTGTTGCAACTTCTTCCGGAGGACTCGTAGCACTTAACTGTGTTGCCATGTGTTGCCATGATTGCAGTTGACAACGGCATCTAACAGACATTGGACCCATTTCTGCCGCTTCGACTGATATGTTAGGTACACTCTTTTGCTACAACCTGCACATAACTGACCGTTAGTCGCGATTGGGTTGAGTTCTGTGTTGATAAATGCGTCAAACAGGACGGCTGTCATGCGACCATCTTTGATTGATTTCGTAGCCGTTCACTCGGGACTCCCCGAGCACGAAAAAGGTTTCTCTGGTCCACTGCTTCCTCACTAGAACTTTAATTCCTTTACATGTGCAGGTAGTTCGACTGAGATGGCACCTCGTCCTGCTCTGGTGATGATGATCACCATGGCCGTTGTGTTCACTGCTCAAGCCACTGATCTCGAGCTCACCACTGACTTCTTCGTCTCTGTGGGCACTAATAAAGCTAATCTCACAGGGGACTACTTCACCTCCATGGATTTCCGCTGCGAGCCACAAATACCCGAAGGCGCTAGGGTGGCAGTGAAGAAGATCACGTCCGACACCTTCCCAGTGCTCACCGGGCTCGGCTTGTCATCCGCCCAGATCAAATACTTGCCCGGCGGCATCAACCCTCCCCACACCCACCCCAGGGGTACCGAGCTGCTGTTAGTGCAGAAGGGCACTCTCACCGTGGGTCTGGTGGACACCACTAACAAGTTCTACACCCAGGTGCTTCGCAAAGGCGATGTGTTCGTGTTTCCCAAAGGTTTGGTGCATTACCAGATCAACTTGGGCCACAAGCCAGTGATTGCGTATGTTGCCTTCAGCAGCTCCAACCCTGGCACCGTGTCACTGCCTGCAACCTTGTTCGGGTCTGGTATTCCAGATAACGTGCACATGACTGCATTCAAGGTTGACGGCGGTGTTGTGGACAGTCTGCAGAGGCCATTCGGAAAGTAGGTTGCCAGAGTTTATCAGTAATTACAAATAGTATTGCCATGTGGTTTCATCCCAGTTAATCTGCTGCTGCTGCTGCTTGCATCCATGATAGAGGGGTTTGGGTTGTGCCGAAGAGTCCTGGATGACTGATTGTCCTTGAGCAAAGCGACTAATAGCGATGGTGTCTCCTTCGGCGTCTACACGTTTCATCGTTCCCTGTTGTAGGCAATATCAGCCCCCTTCTGATTCTCTTGGTGTTTGTGCAATGCAGTGTCCATGAAGCTTAGTTTTCTTTCACTTTCATTCATAAACATTTGTACCTTATCGTATGCTATCTAATAATGCAAATTGGCCTAAATCTGTTTTTCATCTGTTTATTTTTTTCTATTTTTTTTCTATTTTTCCGTTATTCATTTCTTATCTGTCCTGTTTTATTTGTCTTTTGTATTATTTGTTCATATTGAAGTTCCTTGTTTCATTATCTAGTTCTTTATGCTAATATATATTAGGATAGAAAAGAGGAACTAGACGTGAGTTTGAAACATTCAAGGCCATTTTTGTTTTTTGTTTTTTGTTCGTTTTCTTTCTTGAAATTTTATTGAACTTTTCTTGTGTGCATTAAAAGTATTTTGAATTATAAAAGACATAATAGGTCAAATTAATTCAATTTTTATTTTTTTGAAGAAACTAATCTACCTCAAAATTTTATTTGAATTAAATAATATTTCACATCACACAAGTCATTTTCTTCCTGCATTCCTATTTGTGAAAAACCTCATGAAAAAAGTGAATAGGTTATATTATTTTATATCTCATTTTTATGGGTTTTATTTATATTATAATTTGAGGTATTGACTGTTAAATAGTGTACTACTTGGTTTTTCTAAGTTAACACTTTATTCATCTAAATATTCTAACTGTATACAAAAGTCAGTGTTTTATTTATCATATGAATCCAAATTTCAAAAACTTAAAATCCTTTTTAAAATCACTTTATTTTCGAAATCTTGCTGATATCTTCTATTATTTGAAATATTAGCCATAATTTTGAAACTGATTAACCAATTAATATTCTTTTTTAAAAATCAATTTTGTAAAATTGATTATGATTTAGACCTTTGATTTGTAATATTAATAACTTTAACAAAATAAAAGTGTGTAATACTTTGCAAAAGATATTTAAAAAAAGACGTTTTTTAATCTTTTACAATGAGTTTATTAGGATGAATTATAGAAATAATATTATAGTTCTCAATAATGCAACAGAATGCAACAAATAGATAAATAAAAATACATCCAATTTAAATCAATTCAAATAGATGACAAAAAATATATATATATATATATAAATCAAATAAATGATGAATTCTTCACAAACACATTACGTTCAATGACAAAAGTTATAATAACATCTTACTGGATTTAGGGATTATGTTACTTATTAAAATTTGAGTTTTTTAAATGTAGTTTGATATTTTTATATTATTAATTATGTAATTTAATTATCCTTCAAAGTTTCTCTTTACTAGTTCATTACATCTTTAAACACATGGTTTAAATTTTGTTGTTGTATTATATATATATATATATATATATATATATATATATATAATAAATCAACCCAAATAAATCTTAAATCAATCCACCTTTGTTCTGACCAATTTGTTCAGTTGATCAATTCGTTCGTTCGTTCATGCTAATTTTCATCCATCCATAACAAGATCCGTTTCTTGGGTTTTGCGCTGGCTCTGGAGGTGTGCTCCAAATGTGACGGGACCAACTGGACAGGATATTGCAGACACCTTGTCTGCCACAACGCCTGCACTTTCGCTGCAATTCCCATTCAACTCATTCACGGAAGCCTTCTTGCACAGATCAGGAGGGGGGGGGGGGGGGGGGGGGGAGCAGGGTTGCAACAGAGTGCGAAGTAAAATGTTCCTCATTTCAGGAACACCCAGCTCTTCGTTCACGGGCAGTACACTAGACACACCATGTGAAACATTTGAGCCACAATGTTCAACTATTGGTCCACAACAAAGTTGAAAGAGAAACCCAGATATATGCCTTGCTTGCTTATGTAAATGCATCAGCTGGCCTCTCACCTTGTCCCCCCTTAAGTACAAAACATCTTCGCAAATTATGAAACCACCTGCTCTAACATGTCACGTTCCACTGGTTCAGCAGCCAAATGGCTCGAGGTCACCACCAATTATGTGCACCATTCTCCAGTTCCGGAAAAGATTCTACCACCCTGAGGTACTGTGCCTGAGAAGGTTTACCTACGTGAACCAAACCAAACTGAGGTGGATCAGGAATGGTATCTAGAGGTGAAGCTGGCGGTGGGTGTACATCGACGACGGGTGGCACGGCTGCCGGCGGTAGATTACCTAGCTGTTCGTCGGATTCTGGCTGCGAAAGAGCATGATCTTCACCACCGCCCCCTGCAATCCCGTCGCTTCTAACCAAGTGCTCATCGCCATCGACTAAAGGCTCTTGCTCACCTTCGACCAACTGTTCCTCATTCACAGGGGATTGTGGGGATCCTCACATTCGAACTTTCTTCGTGGGCGCCAGACTGCGTCAACTGCGCAATGGCACTCCGTCGATTCTAACTCTCCCTCAGCTTCCACTCCACCAGGATTATCCATGACTACATCCTCTTCGTCAGAGGGCTAAACAGTCCCCCACCGGCATCGAGCTCGCCTCTGTTTTATTTCTCAGTTTTGTTGCGGCAGCCGCAAAATTATTAGCATGCAAAAGACTCTGCTGATCTGAATAATTTTCGTCCGCGGCTGAGGATTTTTTCAAATCGAGAGTATCGTCTATGCTGAAAATCCTTGAAAGGAAATGACAGCAACACAGCTGTGTGTATATAGATACTGCAGTTTGGTTCTTGTGAACAACAAAATGTCTGCGAATGGTTTGCTAATTAATACTTACCATGCAAAAGATGAAATTGTATTATACTTATAATTTCGTTATTTAAATGTTTATTTTATTCAAAGTTGTGTTCCTCTTCAGTCTGAGGTGGGCAGAAATATGGTCATGTCAACAACTCCTTACAACCATAATTTTTCATATTTTCATATGTGAAACAGGCAATTCTACAGTGGATTGGAAGGATAAAGTGTATTTCCAACGGTTTAAACTCTAGATCTTACACCGACTCACGGTATTATCTAGTATTGCTTCAACCTGAAAGTTTATACATGATGTCTGTTATATTGACAGAACTAAAATGGTATTTAATTTTTTTTTATTATGTCTGAAATATTTTATCTAATGTTACATTATGGTAATTTACAGCATTGATTACACGAGCTTGACGACTCTTCTGAAAACAGAGTCGACAAATTATCTACTAATCAGCTGGTTAGAGTTTTCTTTTACATCATAGATTTGTTCAAACAACGTACACAAGTGCATTGTGAAATGTTACTCGCAGTCTAACTTTTAACCCCGCATAATTCTTGATGTTATCTCATTGACATTCGCTGCACATGAATAATATACTTCACTGTCAGATTGGAAAGCAAACATTTCAATCAAGTCCTTAACTAACTTTTAGCTTTCTTCAGGGATTTTTTCTTAATGATTCTTAACCTATTATAGTCACAAAACAGGGCAGTGCGAATACAACAGTACGAATTATTCAAAACTTGGCTGAGCTAGCAATCTGCACAATCCCGACCACAACAATGGTTGAAACAGCTCAGGATTGATCGCATACTCATGGACACTTTTCAGAAATATTATATTAGCAGAAACAGTTATACGAAATTTTAAAAAGTAAATAATTGAGAACTGTGACATATCCGCACACAGACTTGCAGTTGACGACTGTTTTAGAATATCTCCTGAGTGAAGATAGCAACCCGATTGGAGAACCAGTTAAAAATCTTCACAAGCAGCGAGAAATCTACTTGTGAACATCTACTTAGTCCAAAAAAGAAGCCACCCCACACATCTGTCTGGAATAACCTCTCTTATTTATCGGGACATGTCGACATATCGTGGAAGCCAGAAGATATTCGGGTGCGAAGCGTGGTACCAAACATGAAATTCTTTCTGAATCTCACTTTCACACCTCGATCCCTTGAAGGGTCAACGCCTCCTCTGGAATGTCTCCATGATATTGGTGACCTGTCTCTCGAATGCAATCACTTTTTCCCTGTTAAACTCAGCTGGTATACGCTCCTTCGGAACTCTCATATAAGGGATCATTCTGTGGAGAACGTCCTTATAATGCTTCAGCTTTTGAAGTTGCTCCGCTGGCATAGGCTGCGCAAAGCAAGTTTCATATCTTAGCTGTGTCGACTCAGTCGTCAGAAATGCGAAAAATCAAACATCAAAAACCCAACAGCTCCAGTCCTCAACGTGAATTGAACGAAGACTCATATCTTGGTTGCATTTGAGGATATACAATGACATACCAGTAGCATGGGTTATTACTGCTCAACAAAAAGAAAACTTTATATGTAATTGATTGTTTACTATTACAGCATTTAATATTATTGAAGGTTGCACATAAATACTATCTTACTTCATTATAAATGATTATTACATAGACGTGTGTATTTATTTTAGTTTTATATTTTCATATTTATCATGCAAACATGTATGGCCTAATGCACATATATATTTGCCTATCTGTGATGTATTAAAAAAAATAGAAACACAAATCGAATGAAAAAACATGTAGTGACACATGTATATATGCGTCACCTAATAAAATGACTCATAGAATTACATTGCAAGGATAATCTTCTTAATTATGAAGAATGTTTATATATTCTAAAAGGTCAAGCATAATTATGTGCACTTCAGGCATGACATGACTATTAAGTAACAGTACATTTTAGATAAAACAAAACCTTGTAGTTTATCTCAAGAGATTTTTTGTGGCCTTGTATGCGAAATAGTGCGACCTTAATCGACGTTGAATAAAACCAAAAGAGGAATTCAAATGAAATTAACTTCTGCAGACCACCTGAAGAAGTGTGAGCACGCAAACTTAGTAGTACCTGGTTACTTCGGGCTGTAAGAGTCGAATACAACTCAACCATACTACTCAGATGCGTGTTGCTCAGAGCTTGAAGCTGCAATACCAACCATACACATAGTTCAGAATAAGACCATCAGTGATGTAAACTGGTACATCAACTTCACCTCGGTTATGTTTCCTTTGCGGGATAACGCATACCTTGTTGTGAACGAAGTCCCTTTCATCTTCTGCTCCAGTCTGTAAACAAGGAAGGAAACAAACACCCAAACACCAAGAGAGAACCATCAGATGTACGATCCGAGAAGAGTAATATCCAACAAGGGGCACCTGAGTGTCAAGCTCCACGAAAACAAAAGCAAAAAATCGAACTAAACACAGTGAAGAAGAAACACATATCAGTTTCACTCGGGCGACATTTCACCTGCCCCAAATTATCCATGCTTCGGCACTAGCGTCGAATAAGTCGAAATACTTCACACCCATAAATTTCGAAGCCTCCCTTAAGAACGCCGATTGCAGACGTTACATCGTTCTTAACAAACTGTGCAAAACTCAACCAAGAATTATTACGAGCGCACTTGTGCGTACACATGTAAACAACAGAAGAGCGATATGCACAACCCTAGCTAAGAGGATGCACGCTGATATATGGCTACACCCTAATAGATACCGAGATTGTTCAAGCTCTGAACAAAACACTACACAGCAGCCTTCCTTAGCTTACCTAAAGAACTCCGACAAAAGGCGGCACTACCTGCTATCTGTACAGACTCAAACAGAGCAAAGGGTGCGCATTCCGGCATCCACTCCAATGTAGGGATTGCAAGCAATCTCCAAAACGTGTTGCACAAACCTCTTTATTGAATGGACTGGATCGAGGCATCTCGGCATCTCCAACATGTCCGCCCTCCAACATGTCCGCCCTCCAACATGTCCGCCCTCCATGTCCGCCCTCCAACATGTCCGCCCTCCAACATGTCCGCCCTCCAACATGTCCGCCCTCCAACATGTCCGCCCTCCAATATGTCTGCCCTCCAATATGTCCGCCCTCCAACATGTCCGCCCTCCAACATGTCCGCCCTCCAATATGTATGCCCTCCAACATGTCCGCCCTCCAACATGTCCGCCCTCCAATATGTCTGCCCTCCAACATGTCCGCCCTCCAACATGTCCGCCCTCCAATATGTCTGCCCTCCAACATGTCTGCCCTCCAACATGTCCGCCCTCCAATATGTCTGCCCTCCAACATGTCCGCCCTCCAACATGTCCGCCCTCCAATATGTCTGCCCTCCAACATGTCCGCCCTCCAACATGTCCGCCCTCCAACATGTCTGCCCTCCAACATGTCCGCCCTCCATCTTGTTTGCCCTCCTTGTTCTCCTACGTTCCCTCCCATTGTTCCCAATAAATTGATCCACGGTTCAGATTGAATCTGAGCGAAAGCTATGATTTGACGGTCCACCATGGTGCAGCCAATCGATTTAGGGAGGTTTCTACAACACAATTCTAAGAGGCTTTCAAGCCCTCAACACAACTTGTTCCAAAAACCTCCCTGTTCAATCGACTCGCTCCGCCATTGTGGAGCATCAAATTGCAGCTGCCGCTCAGATGCAATATCAATTACTGATCAGATTTCTAGGAACATAAGGAGGAAATGTAGGAGAACTAGGGAGGTGGGTAATTTGGAGGTCCGTAGGTTGGAAGCCGGGCAGTTCACAAGGTGGTAGGTTGAGAACTCAGAACCGATTGGGCCCACATGGATCTACATTGATATGGGTGCTAAATTTTGTTCAAAGTATGCCTCTGAATCCCACTATTCAACCAGCCCTCTTGCTTGAAACAATTTTTTTTGTGGTCATACACAACATCACTCAATGTACATAATACTTTTATTCTCAGGAAGAATTCTTATAACTTATAAATTTTACTAATTAATTTTTTTTCAAATATAAATATTTTACATAGATATTTTATAAACAAAGATTCATCATTGATTATTTTCTTTGTAGAAGAAATAAAATATAGATTATTATATTCTTGCAGTAATTTTTAAATTTACACATGTTCTATTGAATTTTTTTGTAAAATCTTATTATTATTATTTTTTAATTTAATTTTTTTAAAACCTCATGTAATTGAATTTCTCTTTAAAATATTACTTTAGTATAAGATATTATACAATTTTATTTTTTTAAAAGTTAATTTGCAAATCATAAAACATTTTTTACAAGCATTATGTATCTAAGTAGGTTTAAAATTAAAATAAAGGTGGTCATAAAAACCACCACTGAAGTGAAGTCTTTTTATTATATACAATATTAAATACCACATATGAAATATCATAAAATCAAATTAAATCCTTACATAAAGTGCCAAAGTTCGCATCCACACTCTTAATTTTGAAGAACAATTCTACATCTTGGCCAACAATGCATCTCTTCATGAGATACATGAAATTCAGCGAATCTTCAGCATTATGTCCCCGATTGCCCAATAACAAAATGTCTGTTCAATTCTCAGGGCTGCACAAGTGCAATGGCATCACCCCAACCAAGCTGCACATCATTGTACCTTCAACCGCATGCAGCGAATAGAAGTCTGTACACTATTTGGAATTCCAACATGCCAACGCTCTTCTCCAGTTCAGGAAAGATCGAGAATCGTCCCAATTACGAAGTGCACAGAACTGCCCCAACAGCTGCTGTTCCCCTCGGCTTGAGTGGGTTTCAGACTCGGTATCAAACAGCACAGCGCACGGGTTTCAACAGCCTCAATTACATACCGCACAACTGAAGTTGTTTCGGCATAACAACAATTGTTGATCTTGGTCAGCAGAAAACAAGACGGTCAAGTATCGCTACAGAGGGCCATTCGGATTCCAACGCACATCTGCTTCTTGTACTCATCAGTACTCTGGGAGAACGGCATTGACATCAGCTGTTGTCGACAGACACAAAACTTTCCTCGAATGATAAAACATGATAAACATCATCCAATGAGACAGAACTTCCTCCCTTCATCAGCCAAGAATTTATCAATCAAAGAATGCAGCTTTTATTCAATCGAATAGTGTTTCAAACAAGAATGTCGTCCGAGATCCATTTCAAATAGTCATCTACATCTTGAATGGAGCCTGGAGCTTGTCAACGACATGCTGGTTGACCTTGAATGTCTGGGATGCCTGACCCGAACAAGGTTGCGGGCAGTGACACGGTACCGGGGTTGGAGCTGCTGAACCCGACGTAAGCGATCACTGGCCTGTGGCTCAAGTTGATCTGTAAGAAGAAAGTTTAGGTCTTAAGTTTTGAAGTGATAGTCTTAAGGGTTTGGTTTAATACTTTTGCTTTGAGGTTTGAAAAAAAAAATCCAAAATAAAGAGGACAAAATATTATACTTGAAGAAATCTAATATACTTTCTGTCTAAAAATATATACTTGACAGGTTCAAACCTCATCATTTGTGACAATAATTGTCAAGTATATATGTTATAACCATAGGTAAAAATCTAATTCTATGTTAGTTCTCGATGCACGTACTGAATGTTTATTTCGCCGCATAATCTGCATCACCGCAGCCTTCGAGCAGTGGGGCATCGGTGCTACTAGTGAACCTGCATGGTCCCCGCGATGTAGCAGAAAATAGGGGTGACAACCTGATAGTGCTGGCGCTGAGGGCTCGTCGAGAACTGTGCTACCACGCTGACTGCATAGCTGATATCCGGGCGGCTGAGAGTCAGCATAGAGTAACCATCCCACAGGAGCGGTGTCGGAGAAGGATGGCTGAAATGCTTCGGCATTGTCATCCAACTTGGTGTTGAGAGTGGTGCAATCCCCGAACCCTAACCGGGCTAGGATTTGATGCAAGTATTTAGTCTGGTCGATGAAAATGTCACCGTCAGTCGTCAACCGGAGGATATCCAGCCCCACGTTCTAGTCCGCGCTGGAACGTGTAGTTGCTAAGTGCTCTTTTATGTAATGGATGAGGGCTTGGACGGGCGTTGGTGAAGAACATGCGGCAAGCCCATCGTCCACGAATAGCCTGATGATGAGGCTCGGCTCAATTTTTGAAATGTAGACATAAGGATTGGCTTCTATGGATTCCAGATCAAATTTTGTAAGAAAATAGTTGAACATTTGCTTTCAGATCTGCCCGGATTATTTTAGACCATACAAGTTTGCAAATTGTTTATGGATGCTGGCCATGGACTTTGAAGCCTGGGGCTATTGCATTTACATTTCAGTGTGAAGAGAGCCATGGAGAATGTTGTTCATATGTCAAACTTGAGCAGTATAAGTTTGTGAATATCTCGGAAAGAAGACAAATGCCACTTCCTTTTATAGAACTAGATAATAATCAAGAGTTCGGGGTAGAAGAAGTCTTAAATTCAAAGTAGTGCCAAAATAGATTAAAATATCTTGTTCATTGGCATGGATATAATATTAACAAATACACATGGAAGCTAACAAAGAATTTTGTAAATGCAACAAAGAAGGTTGAGGCCTTTTATCGATGACATCTTTTAAAACCAAGATGAAGAATTACAAAGTTCCATGAAAGATGATGACTGCTCCTCGTGGAACTTGTTCCTAGAAAGGGTAATAATATCATGAACATATATATTTATCCCAGTAGTTACTTATATGATTAGGTAGAAATAGGTAAATGTAGATTAATTTCATAAAGTCTTTTAGAAAAGCTTCCTAGAAGCTTAGTTTTGATTTTAGATGTATTTATAGGATAGAAACTTGGCAAATAAGTTAACTAGGTGTTAATAGCTTGTGGAACAAGCTCACTATATAACACATACATAGATAACTTGCCTTGTAAGTTAAGACATGTGGCTAGCAAAGTCAACACGTTTTGGAGGTCTTATAGGACATCGCCTCGTAGTTCTTAGTTAAGAATATATATAGAGGCAAGATGTTAAGGACATGAATTGGAAGATGATGTATAAACCAATGAAATCCATGTCAAAGAAAAAATGATAAAATTGAAATAAAGAAGTACACATATTAAAAAGAAATTGGAATGGCTTATTGTCAAAAGATAAGAAAACTTGAAATTCTTGAAACTAGATTAGAAGCAAGAAAAGAATTGACAAGAGTGAAGAGGGTTTCATTCTTGCTTCTACATATACTATCTAACTAGGTGCTATGTGGCGATATTCTATAGGACCTCTAATATGTGTTAACTTTGTAGGACACATGCCTTGACTTACAAGGTAAGTTTTTCTATATATTCACCACATAGTGACATGAACATATGCATGTAAGCTAGTAATTACTTGTATAAATAGGTAGAAATAAGTAGAAGAATTTAAAAGTAAGTTAGTTTTATAATATCTTCTATAGAAACTTTTTAGAAGCTTCATAGATGCTACTTTTAAGTGACTTTAATTGACTTTTTGGATTAGAAATATGGTCAATAAGTTGGCCATATTCCATACATATTGTTAGCTTGAAGACCAAGCTAACTATGTGGCCCACACATAAAAAAACTTGCCTTGTAAGTCAAAGCATGTGTCCTACAAAGTCAACACATATTAGAGGTGCCATAGAATATCGCCATGTAGTACCAAATTAGATAATATATAGAGAAACAAGAGTAAAGCCCTCTTCACTCTTGTCAACTCACTTCTTGTTTCTAGTCTAGTTTCAAGAGTCTCAAGTTTTCTTATCTTTTGGCATTAAGCCATTCCAATTTCTTTTAAATATACGTACTTTCTTATTTTTATTTTGTCACTCTTTCTTTGACACAAATTTCATTAGTTTATGCATCATCTTTTAGTTCATGTCCTTGATAGATTGGTAAGAGTATATTTACAATATCAAAGCTTTGTCTTGTTTTGATTAAGAGTGGATTACT